GTAGGCGTATACTCTACTATTACTATATATATATATATATATATATATATATATATATATATATGATTTTTGTGCCTAAAAATGTCTATAGCGAGGTGATATTAGGGTTTATGAACTTGGGATTTGAGATGCGTACCTCCTCTATGTTAGGGTTTAAGAAAGAAAAACTTATATTAAATTGAATAAAAATGAAAAATATATTGTATATTGCATGATTCTTTTTCTAGAGGAATCTGACACATCATGAGAAGTATGCATGGGTATTGGATTCTATGTCCATGTGTCTCAAGAATCCTCTCTTCAAGATTCTTGGAAATGGGGAATCCAGTCTTGTTCATGCCTTACCTTACCTATACCTGTGTCCAGCCATGTCCGAACTGTTAGTGAGTCTAGAGTGGAGATTCCATGCAACACAGTCTCTTCTCTAGTGTGCATCTGTTGGTTGTGCTTACAATGTTAAATGCTTCTTGTCTTTTTCCAGTTCTTTGACTTGTAATCGTTTGGCAGGCACGCGGCCTTCTAAAAAAAGGAGGCGAAGAAGTATCAGTCGAACTGCTCAACAATATTGGTGTCCTACATTTCGAAAGGGGGGAGTTTGAGGTTTGCAACTTTGGAAACTAATATTCTTCTTTACTGGATTTGCTTCAAGGTGCGTATTGGATTTGGATTTAGCTGCGGTACATCTGGTTGACTTCGCCCTTCTTTTGTTTTTCCTTAGTTGGCTGATCAAACATTTAAGGAGGCACTGGGTGAAGGCATTTGGCTCTCTTTCATGGATGGAAAGATATATCCTCCCAGTGTGGATGCTAGAGCATTTGCTATGCAGTACAAGGATTTTTCATTTTTCCAAAAGCTGGAAGAAGATGGCACACCTTTGGAATTGCCATGGGATAAAGTCACAGCACTATTTAATCAAGCCAGACTGCTTGAGCAATTGCATGACACTGAAAAAGCATGTCTCTTGTACAAGCTAATCTTGTTCAAGGTCTCTTTCTCTGCCCCCTGCATATAAGAGATCAACTATTTTGTCCAGGGAAATTTCTCAAAATGCATATAAGAGATCAACTATTTTGTCCAGGGAAATTTCTCAAAATGCATATAAGAGATCAACTATTTTGTCCAGGGAAATTTCTCAAAATGCATATAAGAGATCAACTATTAAACGCTCACCCTGATTTTCTGATTTAATTTCAACATACCCATCAAAATACACACGACCATTAATTGGAATTTTTATTTTATTTTTTGTTTGCATCTGTTGACTTTCATGAGTTGAGGTAGTTGAAGAAGGTAAACTGTTAAATTGTTGAATGGTTATGTTTATTTTGATAAATTTCCATTTTTTCTATTGATGGAGATGCTAGAATGCTTCTTTTCAAGTATACATTTTCTGAATACAGTTTATTAAGTAATCAGGTACTGGTGATGGAATTTGGGGAGAGAGTCTCACTATGTACTAAAATTTAAAGTGAAAACTGAGAGGTGTTTAAGGGGTGGTATTACAGCTTTTTTCTTTTTGTATGGTGCTTGGTAACTAATGTGCTTGTGTTGTATTTTCAGTTTCCTGATTATGGGGATGCATATCTGCGGCTTGCTGCCATTTCCAAATCTCGAAATAATATTCGGATGAGCATTGAATTGGTAATATATCTATTGCGTGTGAACTATTTAAAAAAAAAAAAGAAAAGAAAAAAAGAAATGAAAAAACGAAAAGAAAAAAAGAACAGAAAAAAAACGAAAAGAAAATATATTACTGGTCTAACATATTTGGCACAGTTGCCTTGCCTTATCTGAACCAGGTTTATTGCTATATCCTGATCCTGATCAGATGCTTTTCTTGTTTGCAGATTGGTGATGCACTTAAAGTGAACGAAAAGTGTCCAGAGGCTTTATCAATGCTTGGGAGCCTGGAGCTTAAAGGTGATGACTGGTTTAAGGCAAAAGAGACTTTCAAGGCTGCTCGAGAAGCAACAGATGGAAGAGATTCTTATGCAACCCTTTCTCTGGTGTGAACTTATTGGAAAATAAACTCTTCCTTTCGTGTACACATTTCATGTTGTTTATTGTTTGTATCTGGAACCATACTTTCCTGTCCACTTGACATTTCCTTATGTTGTTATCCATCTCTTTGGAATGTTGGTGCTGTTTATTCTCGTATGTTTCATTTTTGTATGTTACTGATGGATGTTTTATATGTTAGATTGTGGGTGTTGCGTTTGTTATGCTTTATGCATGTTTTTTCTCTGATAACTGACCGTTCATTGCAAATAATCTTAGGGAAACTGGAACTACTTTGCTGCTGTTCGTAATGAAAAAAAGGAGCCTAAGTTGGAGGCAGCGCATCTTGAAAAGGCTAGGGAGTTATATGGAAAAGTAAGGGAACATATTTTTTTCCCCCTCTTTTTTATTCTCTTTAAAGGTCTAGTACAAGCTATTGTTGTTACTTGTTCACTATTTCCATGGTCTACCTTTCGTTTATGTATTGGAAATGTAGAGCGCTGTTTATGGTCCGAGTTCTCACTCTTTGAATCGGACCATGAATGGTTGAGCTGCATTCGTTGGTCCTCCTTTGCTAGAAAGAATTTTTTTCTTTGAGAAAACTTGAACTTTCAAACATACAGATAATCTGTTGAGCCAACTGTGGCTCTCTCCCTTATATATATCGGACAAATTTGTAGCCAAGCATTCAAAATTTTAGGATTTTATGTGACGTAATGTGTATATTCCAGAAATGGAATGTCAACTCTGCATTCAGTCCATACCAAGTCAGACTCATGTGACTTGCGAGGTGCAAGATTCACTCCTGGACTGCATGAATCAGTGATTAATGTAAACAATTTTTTTGAGATGTTCTTAGTAATTTGTTTAGTTCCACACTAGTTTTTATTTAGTCAGAATAAGATAATTCTTGCACCATTTAGTGATGGTTTTGGACTGAAACTGCTTGTGAATAGGGTTTTTGTATTAGCTATCAAGTGACCTGGATGGAGCTAAATCTATCATGGAAAAAGTTGAAAGAAAGTTTCTTTTACATAGAAAAATTCAGTTTTTTGCTTCTCTTTCCACTTGGTCTCCATCATTTATGCTCCTATTGTTACACACTCGCAAACTGAAATCCAATTAACCATCGCTGTGAATTTCTTCATGGCAGTAATCATGACCTACAATTTTACATGTGTATTATGGGTAGCCTAATATTGAATTGTCTGTCTTCATTAGGTTTTGATGCAAAGACCTGGTAGTTTATATGCTGCCAATGGTGCTGGAGTTGTCCTTGCAGAGAAAGGTCATTTTGATGTCTCAAAGGACATATTTACACAGGTCATACTGGTGTTCTCTTAAGTCATTTGATTCTTTTTGAAATGGATTTTATATGTAATTTAGTCTTCAAATGAAATTCAGGTGCAAGAAGCAGCAACGGGTAGCATTTTTGTTCAGATGCCAGATGTATGGGTAAATCTGGCACATGTTTATTTTGCTCAAGGCCAGTTTGCCTTGGCTGTGAAAATGGTAATCTTATAATCTTTGTTTGTCTTGGCTGTATGTCTTGTGAGTGTTTTATTTGTAATTATGAATTTACATATATCGGGAAAAAAAAAGAAGCATGCATTCATATTTTTATTGTTTGCAGTATCAAAATTGCCTGCGAAAGTTTTACCATAACACCGACACCCAAGTTCTTCTGTACCTTGCTCGCACTCATTATGAAGCTGAACAATGGCAAGACTGCAAGAAAACTTTGCTTAGAGCAATTCATTTGCAGCCTTCAAATTATATGCTTCGCTTTGATGCTGGTGTGGCATTGCAGAAGTTCTCAGCTTCTACTCTACAAAAGACTAAGAGGACTGCTGATGAGGTATATTATGTTGGAAAGTAATACTTACTGGTGACTATAAAACTCATGTTCAATTGAGAAGTCACGAGCCACTTGCCTTGTTTTATAAATGAAAACTGGGATATACCTGAGTTGCTGGTTGTCAATAATGTTTTATGTTGCAAAAATGGGCGATTTTCTAATGCAGTGAATGTGCTTATTAGTTGATGACTGTTTTGGTGTGAATCCCATCGCAAACACTTTTTTTTGAAGTTCACCAATTTGGCAAACTTGCTAGTTTTTTTTTGAGTTAACCATTTAACACTGGTTCGATGTGGTTTTGGTGGTGACGGAGTCAACAGCCGAGTTGGGGTTTTGAACATTGATAGTTACCATCTCATATAGTTTATCTGATGATCGTGATTGAGTGGGATGTGACCTCAGTGGTGGGTTCCACTCCATCACCATCAATCATCCCAATGGATGGTGATAATCCCATGGGAATAGGGCTTTTGTAGTCCATTAGATTGTCAGAACACCTTCCCTTTTGAATAAATTAATTCATTAACAATGCACTCAGCGGAAAAAGGTGATTGCCTAAAACCTTTATTGATGTTGTCAGGTTCGTTTGGCGGTGGCAGAACTGAAAAATGCATTGAGAGTATTTAGTCAACTCTCTGTAGCAACTGGCCATCACTGCCATGGGTTTGATGAGAAGAAGATAGAGACTCATGTTGGATATTGCAAACATTTACTCGATGCTGCTAAGGTTCATTGTGAGGCAGCGGAGCGTGAAGAGCAGCAGATTCGCCAGAAACTAGAGGTTGCTCGTCAGCTTGTCTTAGCTGAGGAAGCCCGCCGAAAAGCTGAGGAACAAAGAAAATTTCAGGTCTATTGTTCGAAGGGATAGTGAATTATAAATCTATCTACTATGGAAAAATTTATAGTCCATGCATGATCAATCCATTATTGTCCACTTGGATGATGGTCCATGATGGTGGAACAACTGGAAAAGTGCATCACAACAGTGGTGGACTCCACTCCCTCACTGTTTGTTTCAATTGATCATATGGACTAGATAAATGTTTTTTGTTAATTATAATATCAGAGGGTTTGTCTTTTGGTAAAGTTTCAAGTGAATATGGTGCATTAGATGCATACTTCCATTGTATGCTCATTCCCTTCAATGGTGAGCAGATGGAGAGGAGAAAGCAAGAGGATGAGCTGAAGCAAGTGATGCAGCAGGAGGAACAGTTTGAGCGTGTGAAGGTTGGGCATGGTTCCTACTCCTCTTCAATGTTAACTTTTTACATGATTGAAATCTTTTTGGAAAGAAAAAGAACTAGGATGCAAGAGTTTGGGTTAATTTTATATATAAAACCTATCCAGAATCTCGAACAGATGTTCAGCAGGTTGTCATTGGCTTCTTTAGTGTGGTGTTCATGTTTCTTACTATAATCAAGTGCATGACTTCATCCTTTTGCCTACTACTACGATGAGAAATCAATGTCTGTTTATATATTTGTTTTAGGATACGAAATCAGACTTTTCTTTTAGTTCTAGAATAAAAATCTCGTGTTGATGTGGTCATGTGATAATTAAAGTGCTTCTTCGAAAAACTTCCCTTTCTTCTCTTTCCTCTAATGGTTAAAATTCGATATGGACTTATATTCTTATTTTAAATGCAACCAAATGCAGTGAAGTGATCCGGATAAAAGTGCTTGTTGTGTTTTCTTTCCTGGCCTTCTTCATTTCATGTTATATTTTCCCTGTTTCAGTTTCCGTTTAACAAATTCTAGATTTTTTTTTTTGCTTGAAAATATATACTATAATCAATGGACTATGGCATATTCGTGGTCTATTATTGGGGCCATCTTCGTCCAATGAAATCATGGACATCGATGGGGGAGAGAGTGAGACACTTTGGTGGTTCTCATTTTCATCATTTCATTCAATGGTGATGGGCCCGATGGTTTTACATAGTCTAATCTAACAGATCATAGCGAATTTTCCCTACATTTTAGTTGGAATATTGTTGAAGACTTGGTGGTTCTGCAGGAACTATGGAGGAGTAAGCGTAAAGACCGACCCCATGCCGAAGATGAAGAGGAGGGTGGGCATGGAGAGAAGAAAAAGAAGAAAGAGAAAAAGCGGAGAAAGAAGGACAAGCATAACAAGTCACTTGCTGAAATAGAGGAGCAAGAAGCTGACATGGAAGAACCTGAGGAGATGGAGGAAGATGACGCAAACATGCTCAATGAGAAAGAGGAAGATGGGGAGAATGCTCAAGATGCCTTGGCTGCTGCTGGCCTTGAAGATTTTGACGATGAAGAAGAAATGGTAAATTTCCTCTCTCTAGGCTTTTCTTTTTGAATCATTTTCTTCCCTCTACACCATCTTAGAATGGTAAATACTTTGATATCATTCTTCCATTATTTATCTGATCTTCTGAGAAAGTTAGAAAATTCTGAACATTCATATTTTTGAAAGAAGAGTTTCAGCTTCTTAATGAAGCACTACACGGGTACTTTTGCAAAGTACATTGATACTTTTTGACATTCTGACATTCTCTCTTCTTTTCAAACTACGTGAGAAACACATATTTTCTTTTTGTAATTGCAACCCTGTTTTGCTTTATTTCGTCATGTTTTTGTTTTCTCCTTCCTGTGATTTATTCGCATCTGCATTCTTTTCTTTAGTCCTGTAACAGTTTTTGTGCCGTGGATGGAGGAGATATTCTTGTCTGTGTATTTAATTGTCTGTAGATGGTTGGGTTTTGCTCTTTTGTCATGTTGTACATCCATACTGGTAGCTTGGTAGATCCACTCCTGCCCCACCCCCTCCCCCTCCCCCTCCCCCTCCCCCTCGAGCATATAAAGGAGTGATAAGTCTATTTTAAATGACCCTTTTCATTAGACATTAGTAAAACTTAATATTTTTAAAGGTATCTTGGTTGCGTATGTTATAATGGTAGCTTGCTTGCTTCTGTGTGTGTGCGTGCTTGCCTGCCTCTGTGTGTGTGTGTGTGTGTGTCGGTTCTACCTGTATTAAGCCACAGTTAAGTCTAATGACATGTGACATTTAACTAGAGTAGGATCCTATGAAGAGAGATCTTATAGTAGGATGCCTATTAAGGGGGGCCATATAAAGTGGGAGTTTAGAGTGTAATCATTTCAATCTATACCTCTTCTTATACTTTCTTTGGAAATTTTAACTGGATGTATATAATAGGAAGTCTATTTGGAGCGAGAAACTCTCGCTTCAATGAAGATATTTATCCTTGTTCAATCTTATTAGGAGTAATGCTCTTGGATGCACATATACATAAGAAATTATCTCCTATTTTGAGGATCATTAACTTTTAGTGGACATATAAATCCATACTTTCCAATTTACAGGAAACTGTTTTTTGAAAAAGAATACATCTTTTACCATCTTATGATCGTAATCAGAAATTTACATTGGACCTGCCTATCTCTAGTTTATTATTAAACTCATTAAAACACTGAATGATAGTATTAGCTGATAAGCTAGTTTCAACTCTCACCCTCTCACACACATGCACACGTGCTCGCACACGCTTTGATCTGACTGATTTACCATGTCCTTTTACAATCTTGACTAAAAATCTTTTTGTTGATTTCCTCAATGAAGATGCAGAATGCTTCTGCCTCGAAGCCTTCTCGAAGGAAGCCAGCATGGTCTGAGTCCGATAATGATGAACCAATTGATAGGCCAGCAGCAATTGAGCAACCGCATTCTGATCAAGAGAGTGACAAAGAAATCCCATCTCATGAAAATGGAACCCAAGGGCTTGATGATGAAGAAGAGGACTGAGAAGTGTTTTTTTCTCAATTTTGGAACTTTTCTTTTTCTTTTTCGGTTGGGTTGGTTTTGAATTAATTTTAAGAGGTGAAACTCGTAAATGTACAGAAAGGAAGGCTGATAATGTTCAACATTTTAGAAGCTTGTATGTTGGAGTGGGGTTGGGAAATGTTAATATCTTATTTATTTGTAAAGGGCCTGTTATCATTGTAAAATAGCTTGGATGTTGGTTTTAATTCTGTAAATTAAATTTGGGTTATAGTTTTCAGTGATTTTTATCCATTGACCTCTCTCTCTCTCGATATATATATATATATACATTTCATTTTGCTATAAAAATTAAAACACTCATATTTGGTTTCTTAAAATCTGTCCTCCCATGTAACCAAAATTTTACTTTTCTTAGTATCGTTGCCATTTTTTTGTCTGAAAATTTGATTGAGCCTCAGGCTAAAGAAACAGATGCCTAAAATAAGGGAGACCATAAGTTACATTTTTGCAAGAGCAAGGGTGGGATGGCTGGAGGTTTGAGAAATTTAGGGTCAAGGAAGTGAATTGACCATGCTTCAAATGAGTTGCTTTTGGGTAGTCAAATATGATAACCATTTCTTCTCACGTGCAAGAGCTTTAAATGTGTATGTGCTGGCATAAATGTCAACACTGGAAGTTTGGAACAAATTCAAACTATTAACGCATATGGCCAAAACAAATTCAAACTCTTAACGCATATGGCCAAAAGGTTTTGCCACATGAAAATTAGTACTAATTCAAGCTATTCTCTCTCTCTCTAGTATGAAAATTGGGACAAATTTAAGCTCCCCTAGTCTCTCTCTCTCATGGACCTTTTTTTATGAGCTTTGAGCTCCCTAGTGGCAGGCATTATACATTTTAGATCGTTTACAAAGAGAACAATGACCTTTGTACAAGGCGGTCCAAACTATTACCACCAAAGTGAATGGCTTGGGGTGAGATATGTCTCAAAATTTTTTTTTTTTTTGGAATTTAGTGTCCAAAAAATGATACTATTACAAACCACCCATTTTGAAATCTAAGAGACAAGAATAATTGTGACCTCTTTGTACAAAAAGTAAATGATCTATTTGTAGACAATCTTTATATATTTACTTTCACGCAAAAGAGAGGATTTTTTTGATGTAAATATTCTAGTCCAAGAATGATAAGATGGGTATTTAAAAAAAAAAGATTTGAATTTTTTGAGTTTCTATAACTCATTGATGTGAATTGTACAAAAATTTGGCCTTCTGTATATAATTGGAGAATGTTATTTTAGGTGCATATAGAGTGTGTTTGTTGTTGTTGTTTTTGTTTGGTTTAAGGAGGTTTAGAGTTCCTAAAATGGGCAAGAGCATATTTTATACTTTGGCCTAAATTATTTTTATCTATCTTTTTATTTCTTACACCTGTCTGATTTTAAGGGTGTAGTTTGTATAAGGCTGAAGCTGTAAATGATCAAAATAAGGTGCACATTCAAATAGTGTCGAAAGATGTCTTTTTAATATCGAAAATCTTTGTGATAGCCTGAAATTTGATTTTAATAACTAATTATAAAATTTAAAGCTATACAAATAGTGTAGATTAAGAAGATATCTGAATGCTTGAAAATTTTGAAAATTGGCCGTCTAGATAATGCATAACATGATGCAATATTTCTGAAACTTGAAGTTCATTTTTTCAAAATCCATGAATCTCAAGGTCAAGATGATCGGATTTGAAGTTTTATTTAGTACAAAAATAACTTTTTCTAGTGAATTTTTTAGTATTCCTTAATTTGATTGTTTAGGGCCACAACCTTATAAAATTTTTTTGTTCTACTTTTTAAGTTCCTCCCAACACTAATTACCTAATGGACCCAAGTTCTCAACTTCTCTTACCCATTTATAATGCAAATCACCTCTTCCTCTGTCTCTCTAATTGATTTCTTTCTTGAAAACTCTCTCCCTATGTGCCCGGCGATGAAAGCGCTGATATCCAGTTGGACCAAGACATCTAATGCATTTTTAACGTCAATAATCCTACTCACTTCGACTAAAGAAAAGCATTTCTTTCTTTGAGAAATGGCACAAAACCTCCCCTTTGGTCTTTCACCTCTATCATAAAAAAAAATCTGTAGATAGCCTCTTCATGTTTGTCCTGAGTTATCTTTATAGGGAAAGGTTTTTATAAGTTTTCTATGCTTCTCCTATCATCCAGCCATCCAATTTTGATCAAGAGAGTTATTCATCATTTGATCTTAGATTCGACGTTTCAAAGTATTTTATTTTTAGTTTTTTTTATACAAATTGCATGAATATGAAATTCTATATGTACCATCTTTTCATTGGGGTGCACCTATAAGAAAATATAAGAAATATTTTTTTGATAAAATATAATGACCAAAATACACTTTGAAACTTTCAAAGGTATTTTGGTTATTTTATTTTATTGGAAATATTTTTTTTTTATATTTTTCGCTTGTAAGAGTCTAATAGAGGATTGGATGTACAAAATTTGGTATGAAAATAATTTATAGAATTTTTTTTAGATAAAATAGGATAGAGACGTGACATTGTGATTAAGACAATCTTAGCCTTCCATTCAGAATGGACGGTTGGATAAGAAGAAATATATAAATTTTATGTTGTAGAAAAAATATAAAAAGCTTGCCCATCATTATATACCCAATGCTCTCTCTCTCTAGGTGGTCTCCCTCCCCTTTTTCTCTCAATCAAGAAACACTATGTTCCTTCTCTTTCTTTGAATTCACCTTAAAACCATTCACTCTTCTTTCTTTGATATCACCCTAAAATCATTCACTTAGCATTGTTTCTCTCACATTTCTTGGCTCTTTTTTTTTCCCTTTCAGTTTGAGTAATTCCTTTCCTACTCGGTGGTCTTTAGAAAGTACAGACCAAATTATTTTATTATTCATGAAAGACCAAATTATATTCATTATTTACTAATTAGATAAAGGAACATCAAAATTAGCCCATGAAAGAATATAAAAATTAGCTATTAAAATGTTTAAAATGGTTAAAGTAATGGGTGTGGTTTATATAATGCGCCAACTTTAAACAATAAAAGTGAAATATAATTTTTTAAAAATAATGTAGATCGAACAAACCTATAAACACTCGAATATATTGAAAATAGATATTGCAAATGATTTGAATATCCTTTAATCTCAGCTTGAGATGATCAATCGGAGAGTACTCTGCTTCGAAACAAGTTTTTCCTGTGAATTTTTAAGCTGCACCTTAATTTTATATACAAAACCTTCTGCTAAATACTATCAAAATTAGCCTTTGAGAGGGTTGCCGTGTCTGAGATATATCTTGAAGAAATTCTGTTTAGTTTGGTCAACATTTTTAATTTGACTGGCATTTCTTCTCGCTCTGGCAAACCGTTGAGCGCGGGTTTCTCTCTCTTGCTGGGCATTTTATGGATCTCGTTTCTCTCTCCTCTCTGTAAAACTCAAAGATGAGCCCCAAAACCCTTACCAGACTCGACCCATTTCCTTTATTCTCTCCCTAAGAACGAAGCCAACTCAACCCACTTCATTCTTTGGAGGAAAACCCCATTCTTAATTCTCTCTCTCAAAACGCAAACCTTTCATTTCTCTCTATCTAGAATAACCCCTTTCATTTCTTGGAGGAAATCTCAGTTCCACTTTTCTCTCTCTCTAACGGGAAAACCCATTTCCAATTTTCTCTCTCGAGAAGGAAAACCCAACTAAAAAATCCCATCCATCTCCACCATCTCGCTATCCAAATGCTCAAACCTCAAAAAAGCAGGCCCAATCCTGTTTTCTCTCTTTAGAGAGAGAACCCAAATGCTCAACCATTTCGACTTCAATTCCTGGTGAAAAAGATTGAAAAGAAGGGGGAGAGAGAAAGTGGGCATCCTTACAATGGAACCAACCATTAGGGCGAGGCCCTTCTTCACCTTAATAGGTATTTTCATTATCCTCTCTGATGCTTCTTTTGCTATGAATTCGAATACAATGGTTCTTAGATCCTCGGAGGATTCATCAAATACAATGGCTGAACGAGACCGGTATACTGGTAGAAACTATAGAAATATTCATGAAAATCCAAGAAATGAATCTGCAAAAAGGCATGCTTCCATTGAATCAAAAGGGAAGAATGATTCAACAAATGCTTACAGTCATAGAACAAATACTCATGATTATAGAAACTCAAAGAACCATAGAAATTCGCCTCCACCAAAACTTCGTCATCGCTTTAATAGAAGCCATGATCATGGTATGAATGCTGGTAAAAAAGTTGGGCTTTTCTTTGTGGGGATAGCTGGGGTTTTTCAGGTTGGGGCAGCGGTCTTTCTGCTTTTTAAGAGGAAGCAGTTCTTAGAAACAAAGGCTCAACATGGCGTTTGTTCTTAACCTTGACTGAGCAGATGGTGTTTGTTTTTCACCTTGATTAGAAGAGAGGGAAAATATTTCACTTTGATTAGAAGAGGGAGAAAAATTACTTTTTGACTAGAGGATACAGAATAGATTTCACATTGATTAGTGGAGAGAGAAAAGAGATTTGTTTGTTTAATGAGGTCTCGGCACAGAGGTTGGCAAGAGGAAGAAATGGTTATCCGTAGTGGTTGATTTGTTGAGGATTGTTCTTGGGATGGCGTTTCACACCAAGGCACGGTGGGTTTGAGTCTTGAAACTTCTGTATGATAATTTTCTTTTTCTTTTTTATTTATGGATGTCAATTTGACATTTTGGGGTTTGTTTAGATTGAATTTTATGACACTGAATGCGTTTAATTGGATTCTACGATTCACTTTGTTTTGTTCATTGGTGTATTTCTTTCTTCTTCTCTGTCTATCCTTTGTTCCTCTCTTTCCCCTGTGGAATTTTCTATCTCAATGGTATGTTTTTTCAATTGATGAAAGGTGTGAAGATTAAGAGGATATGCAAGTTTTGAATTTCAGTATAATTGTCTTTCAGAATTTAGGAATCAATATAACAATGATTCAGTGCATATCATTTTCAAGTTACCTTCTGAAATATGAATTACATGGGCGTAGACTTCTCACACTCTGTGGAACCAGAAAATTATCTTGTAACCAATCTAACCTTCTACCATGATTTCCCTTTTGGCTCTGCATTTGTTTGCATATTGCATTTTACTGTGATTGATGGAAATCAAGGTTCATGGTGGGAATCATAAATATTGTCCACTATGTTCATGACCATAGATATTATACCAGATTCCCGTGAAATACAATTGACAGGTGCTGGCTGATATGGGACATAAAACTTATGCAATATGATTTTACAAACTTGGTTGAGTGCATTTGGGGTAGACCAAGGGGAATAGTAAAGGGAAATTGGTGTGAATTGAGAGTTGTCTTCCTAGATGGTTTGACTGTGAGAGCTGGACCAATGTGATGCTCGGTTTGAATCCCAGCTTATGCACTTGCTAAAATCCAGTTCCATAAGTGGTAATGCGAATCAACATTTGAAAGTAATGCACTCGTAGCATAGTCAGTAGATTAAATTTTTGTAATCTAGTGTTGCTAAGGACCTTTCTTGGCAATAGTTGGATGTCTATGCAGAGGTTCTTGGTGTTACTCATGGTGGCTTACTTGTGTAGTCCTGCTAAAATCCAATTCTAGAGAGTGTTCCTCCACATAAGCTTCTTTGTGGATATGCCTGAAAAGTAAAAAAAATCTCCTTGGTGCCTAGGAATTCATGTATATTCTTATGCACAGGCATTTGCCTCAATAGAATGTGTTGCAAATAAAAATGGGAGTTTATTTATTTTTTATTTTTAATTAGGGATATGAAGAGATAAGTTAAGAGGGCCTTGTTCGCTGCGTGATTTATTTTTGGGAAGGTCGATCTTTTTAGTTTAGGGAATAAGTAAAGATCTTTTGGTTTAGGAAATAATAAGTGTAGTTATTTTTCACTATAATGTGGAAGTTAGAAAGAGAGAAAATAGGGATGGTACGTGAAAGAGAGAAAAGGTGAGAGAAAAAATAGGGAAAAGAGATTGAGAGAAAGATAGGGGAAGTATAGACTTTTTAGAGAGAGAGAAGGACTATTATATTTGGGATTCTTTTTGTAGTTATTATTTATTTTGTTTGAAGTGTATTTAAAGGGAAGAGGTCCCCTCATTGTAAAGAGATCAGAGAATGATCAGAGAGAGTTGAATAAAGTTGATCTTGTGATAAGATCTTTTGAGGTGGATTCCCTTGCAGACTATTTTTTGGGGTTTTGGGGTAGATTCCCTTGCAGACCTTGTTTTTGGGGTGGATTCCCTAGCAGACCTTGATAGACGGTTTATTCTCTCAACCGTTTTTTTTTTTTCTTTTTATTATTTTGGTTGTTATTTTCTCCTTGCATCAGTTGGTATCAAAGTTCTAAGATCCTTGCCCTAAGATCTATATGGAGAGCCTTGAGATCCATGATCTAATTATGGAAGATGTTCGAAGCGAAGGTCGTGACATCAATAAGTGGTTTCAGCGATTGGATCAAAGCTTTGAGAGACTCAAAGAAGACCTAGTAGAGCGCATTAGCAAAGTAGTAGAACAAGGTCTACTAGATTTCTTTCATAAATTACAATTGGAACAAGAGGAAGATGAATATGAAGAGGTATATCCAGTGTTTCAAAAAGCGCTAGGCGGGTCCTGGGGGGTCCAGGCCACCTCTAGGTGGGCGCCTAGAACCTAGGCGGTCCAGTTGAATAAAAAAGGTATCTATAATTATATATTATATAAAATATATGAACTAGGTATTTAGGGCATATCAGAATTCAAAGTATACTACACATTAGCACACACTCCATAAGCTTAACCATAAGTCAGTCCATAATCCATATCCAATTAAAACTTAAAATTTATCAACCAACCAAATTACCAAACCAAAGTTACCAAATAGAGTACCAAACTAGTGGAACTACAAATCCACTATCCACAAATCACATTACAGTATTACACCACCATGAGGGAAAAAACAAAAATGAAAGTAATACTTGAAGACTCAAAAGAATATTCAATAGATAATAGTTGAATTAAAGTTCAAAGTTTAATAATTATTCAATATTCATCATCAGAAAAATTAGGGTCAGCAGCATTGACATCATATTCATCTGAGTCGTCACCCTCCTCGACATATTGGTCGTCCTCCTCCGTCTCTTCTGAATCTGCCTCTTCTTCCTCCTCCACCTTCGCTCTTTGTGCGGAAGATCTAGTGGCCCTAGGAGGGTCAATTGATGTCCCTGAAACATCCATGACCATGTCTCATGTCAATCCTGCATTCCCCTCGATCTCATCATCATCAACTAACCACTCCATTGCATTGTCCATATTTTTTGATCTGTTGGGGTCTCTCTTATCTCTCTTAGCAAACTTGTCCTTCAAGAATCGATTATACTTGACATAGACTAGGTCATTGAGCCTCTTCTTATTTTTTGTATGAATCTAACAAAATCAAATGAAACTAATTAAAAACTATGATTCATGTATTATTAATACAATTATACAAATTACCCTTACGACTTTACCCCTTCAAAAGTACTCCAATTGCGCTCACAACCGGATGAGTAAGTTGTTAGGTTTAAGATCCGAATAGCCAACTTTTGTAAATTTGGAGAACTACACCTATGTTGGCTCTACCAATTGGCTGCAAAGATATAAAATAAAATCATGAATAAATAATAGAAGAGTAATGATCCTATGAGACCCTCCCACACGCATGTGTGTAAAACCCCAAATGATCACCATTAAATTTGGCACAGATATCTAAAAAAGTTATCATATGTGTGTGGGACTTTACTTTTATAGAGATCTGTGCCAAATTTAATGGTGATCCTTTGGGGTCCTATACACATGGGTGTAGAAGGGTCTCACAAGGTCATTTCCCATAATAGAATTATAAAAATGAAACTTGATTACTTGAACTTGATAAACTTAAGAATATTATTACTACCTGGATCAATTCTGGTCCTTTGCTTCATCGCCATTGGACTCCCAAAAGACTTTAATGAGCACTTGTAATTTATCAGTGCAGATAATATCCTGGATATCAGGATCAGGGCCTAGTACATCTACAAACTTATTAAATCCAGTCATAATTGTGTCATTTATGTTTATATCCTTGTCAACATAAAAAAAAAGCTGGGTTCAAATAATAACTAGTTACATGCAATGGCCGATGTAGCTGCCTATCCCACTTCTCATCAATAATCTCCCAAACAGCTTGTAGCAGTTCTCATCATCATCAAAATTTTGGGTTATCCCTCTTTTGTATTTCTCCCTAGTCTCATATATATAGCCATAAAAGGCTTGTCACTATCAACCATGCGAAGAACGTTGACAAGAGGAAAAGATACCTAAAGAGCGCCTTTCACCCCTCGCCAAAAAGCCTTAGAAAGGATAATATCTCTCACCTTCTTCCCAGCCTAATCCTTGGACTACTTGCATGTTGTCCAGTCATCTGAGGTAAACATCTGTCTCAACTGCATACTCTTCGAATGTACGCTATCTAGGCATTAGAACCAGGTCGCAAATCTCGTGACCCCAGGCCTCACAATCTCTTTCTTTTTTGTAAATTTATGCATCATGTTGAGGGTGAGATGGTCGCCATAAATGAAATTTGTAACTAACTTTACCTTCTTCAGTGCACCTGATATCTCGGTTAAACTGCTAAGAGCTTTAAGCATGAGGTCTATACAATGTGCTGCACAAGGTGTCCAAAAGATTCGAGGATAAGCTATGCGCAACAAATTAGCTGCGGCAACATTAAGAGTAGCATTGTTTGTGACAACCTGTACAACATGATGCTCCCCAACCTCCTTGATTCCCTTCTCTATAAGTTGGAATATGTAATGGGCATCATGGATATGATCAGAGGCATTAATAAACCTCCAAAAAACAGTCCCTAAAGGATAATTCACAAGCAAATTCACTCAACTTCTTCTCTTCCTATCACTCCAAGCATCAGTCATAATAGAAATCTCATACCGAGCCCATGCATCTTTCTTAACTTCTATCGCTTCTTTCGTGACACTCACTCGTTTTTTTCAAAAGAGGCTTTGAAAGCTCGTATGGGGTTGGGGGTTTCATCCCAGGCCCAAATTGGCCAATTGTCTCTACCGCGGCATGGAAGTTGCTTAAGCGGTATTGAAAGGAATGCTCGCCTCATAATAGGCAACTATCTCTCTTTTCCTTCTTTATTCTATTTTCAATGGTGGTTTGCTTCTTTGTTTTCTCTCCTGCAACCTCAGGGTCAGGCCGAGGCAAAAAACTATCTATAGGGCCTCTAACCTGAGGCTTATTACTCCCAGAACTAGAACCAAAAGCAATTACAACTCCATTTCCCTTAGCCCTAATAATGGATTGTTCTACTTCTTCCTCTTGACATCCCTCCCCAATCCCATCCTCACTATCATCATCATCATAATTGACCCGAACCCCAGACTTAATCTTTACTATGGAAGCAAATCTTGCATCATTTTTCATTTTTACCATATTTAAAAAGTTGGTTATTTCCTCTTTAACAGCATCAAGAGTCTTTTTACATGGGGCAACATCCTCTTGATACCAGCAAGATGTTTCTTGAACTGGTTTATACCCCATTTTTTCTCACATGCAATTTTTATCATTAGGATCTGGGTTGTAGCCAAATTTTCAATTGCGATCACCACTCTTATTAGATCCCGAAGAAGACATATCAAAATAATGCAATTTATACAAGCAATAAAAAAATCACTTATTTTGAGTTTGATTGCTCAATCTCCAAACTTCCACCTCAAAGAGGCTTCTAAGGACTCGAAATCTTCTAAAAACC